TGTTACATTGTTATTACACTGTTCAATAGACACAGTGTGGTGTTATTATTACACTGTTCAATAGACACAGTGTGGTGTTATTATTACACTGTTCAATAGACACAGTGTGGTGTTATTATTACACTGTTCAATAGACACAGTGTGGTGTTATTATTACACTGTTCAATAGACACAGTGTGGTGTTATTATTACACAGTTCAATAGCCGTTATGTGACATTATTATTACACAGTTCAATAGACGTTATGTGACATTATTATTACACTGTTCAATAGACACAGTGTGACGCTATTATTACACAGTTCAATAGACACAGTGTGGTGTTATTATTACACTGTTCAATAGATGCTATGTTACATTGTTATTACACTGTTCAATAGACACAGTGTGGTGTTATTATTACACTGTTCAATAGACACAGTGTGGTGTTATTATTACACTGTTCAATAGACACAGTGTGGTGTTATTATTACACTGTTCAATAGACACAGTGTGGTGTTATTATTACACTGTTCAATAGACACAGTGTGGTGTTATTATTACACTGTTCAATAGACACAGTGTGGTGTTATTATTACACAGTTCAATAGACGATATGTGACATTATTATTACACAGTTCAATAGACGTTATGTGACATTATTATTACACTGTTCAATAGACACAGTGTGGTGTTATTATTACACAGTTCAATAGACGTTATGTGACATTATTATTACACAGTTCAATAGACGTTATGTGACATTATTATTACACTGTTCAATAGACACAGTGTGGTGTTATTATTACACAGTTCAATAGACACAGTGTGACATTATTATTACACAGTTCAATAGACGTTATGTGACATTATTATTACACTGTTCAATAGACACAGTGTGGTGTTATTATTCCACTGTTCAATAGACACAGTGTGGTGTTATTATTACACTGTTCAATAGACACAGTGTGACGCTATTATTACACAGTTCAATAGACGTTATGTGACATTATTATTACACTGTTCAATAGACACAGTGTGGTGTTATTATTACACTGTTCAATAGACACAGTGTGGTGTTATTATTACACTGTTCTATAGACACAGTGTGGTGTTATCATTACACTGTTCAATAGATGCTATGTGACATTATTATTACACTGTTCAATAGACACAGTGTGGTGTTATTATTACACTGTTCAATAGACACAGTGTGGTGTTATTATTACACTGTTCTATAGACACAGTGTGGTGTTATCATTACACTGTTCAATAGACACAGTGTGGTGTTATTATTACACTGTTCAATAGACACAGTGTGGTGTTATTATTACACTGTTCAATAGATGCTATGTGGCGTTATTATTACACTGTTCAATAGACACAGTGTGGTGTTATTATTACACTGTTCAATAGACACAGTGTGGTGTTATTATTACACTGTTCAATAGACACAGTGTGGTGTTATTATTACACTGTTCAATAGATGCTATGTGGCGTTATTATTACACTGTCTGACGTCAAATCTTTTGCCATTAAAGCAATATACGAAAATATCAACCACAAATATGCGGATGCGGTAGAACGGCAAATTATGAACACGCACGCAGTTTTTAGAGATTTATTCCAGTAATTATTCCACATGTTAAATCATTAAGTTTCTTCTGATTAAAAGAAATGATTTAAAGACAAAAATGTTTGTAAGATTAAGTTTTGGCTTTTAGTGTAAAATGTAAACATCGTTCATGCAGTTTCGACATCAGTAGTATTTGTATATCTGCGTTTTTAAACTTTCGACTCTCAAATGTAAAGAATCTGTTTGACTTGTGAATTAAGATGATTATGAAACTTCGATTATTTTTCCCATTAAGGAATATACCCATTTCCATTGAGTTTGAAACACCGGTTAATTGATTAAAAGGTTCTAAAAGAGGTTTTCAAGCTTTGTATGTGTATTGACGACACTCATAGCTTCTACATGTATGTGCAACTTTCTGGTTTCTCGCTCGATGTTTTGTGTTCCTATGCAATACCATTTGGCTCGTATAATATTTAGATAGTGACGTCACAATCTGTTTTATGTGCAATAGGAAGTCATCGGGATCGTTGATGCACACAAGCTTTAATGCTAGAAACTTCCTTAAATCTTTTAATACTGAGAAAAACTTGAATGAATTTCAGGATTGTGTTTTTTTCTTTCTTTACAGAATTAGATTCCTTGTTGTGGCACCTAAACTATAGCTCTGTTATCTTCAACCCAAATACATATACAGTAGATATCAATGTCACGTGGTCACCACCGTTCAACCAATCAGCAGTCAATTATAGCATAGCTTGGGAAATGGCGGGAAATGATGACTATTTTCTTAGTGGCCATCAGAGGGCGCCTCAGAACTATTATGTGCTTAGCCTGGAACCAGATAGTTTTTTCCGAGTTCGGGTAAATCCAATTTTTTTCTTTGGCAGGATCACATACTGACTGATTATTCAAACCGTTTTCGCATCGACAATCTTTCAAACAGTGGTACATTGTATGTCAAAAAGATCATAAGATGTAAATAATTTTGCTCATATGCAATAACAATGTGGACTTCCCGAAGAGATTTCTAGTGTACAGATTGAATGTCTCACGCCAGTTATTCCTGTGTTTCGTTTTTCATTTACAACGTTTAAACAATTCACCTTTGATTCACTTTCTTGAACAACCTCTCATAAATTGAAATATATATCACCAATGTTATAGATTTCCATGTATTATATCTCGCACATATTTCGACAGTTTACATTATTACCATTTGGTTGCATTTTAGGCGGACGCTGAGTATCTAACTGATGCTGGTCAACCGACGATATACGACAGCCAGTGGTTATATATCAATACTTCTCTAGCTGATTTTACTGTAGACGACCAGCCAATGGCAGTTCATATGAGAAAAAGTAAGTATACAGTTAGACTCAGTTCAGTAGGTCAGAGATAGATATGCATGTTCGTGCACGTTTTTAAATATAATGCTATGCAATACATTGTTTCTCAGGTTGTTTTGCCTGTTGACGATCATCCAATGACAGTACAGTTATAGTTATTCCAGTAGGTCAGGCATAGATATGCACGTACGTGAACGTCTTCGAACGCACACACGATATGATACGATATTTCACTTTTTGATTTAACACAGTAATGAGCATAGTAGAGTGATCCGAGGCTTGTTGTACAAATATAAAAAAACAAGGACTAACGATCCCAACCGCAAAACAAAACCCAAAATTCAAAACATTGACGAAACCAATGTACAAAACAAAACTGCTACAAAAAATGGCAATTACTAATTATTTTAAAACTCGTGTTTAAGATCACTTCAAATTTTTAAACGAAAATTTATCTTTTTTATGGCATGACATACAAATTGGGGAGAGCTTTTTGATCCAGAATAACAAACGTATAGTCGATCAACGTGCGTTCACCAGACACATTCTGGCGTAAAAACTTCCATTGAACAGATGTAATCTTTCATGTTTTACGCTTCGTATTACAAAAATACACAGCGAGTCAATTAAGGCCTAAAGGTTTCGGGTTTCTTTTTGAATTACGTGTGTTGTGGAATACAGATCTTTTAAACTCTTAGCTTATTTATCTATAATGAAGTTACTTAACGAGGTTTTAGTTCTTTCTCGGTTAGTTTGAAATTCCCCAGTGTCCTTTCGTGCTATTAAGTCTCGTGGTTTATAAATTAAATGTTAATGGATGTCCCCATTGCCCTTTCTTGCTACTTAGTCGCAGTGTTAATTCTGTAGAATTATATATTTGAAGTTTCAGGCGCTACTGTTTTTCATTTTTGATTTATTTGACTTTTGAAGACTTCCAATTGTCCAGGGATCTTCGCGTGCACAACACGTGGCACATTAAAATCTTAAAACGAAGTAGAACAAAAAAAAAATCCGTTCATTTCATTTTTAAAAGCATAAATCTAAACAGTCTAGCCGATCTATTTGGATGGTCTTAGTTAAAGACCAGTAGATTGGACATCTCGAAATACCCCATATGAATTTAATTTCAACTGACCCTCATACGTAAAAAAAATAGAGCTAGGAAATGATCCAATTCCATGCTGCAAGTGTACATTACAAAAGAAATTTTACATTTTCAATGAGCTTTAAAGGTCCTGCATAGAAGACGAAGCCTTTACAAATTGGATATCCAAAAGACTTTTCAACCGCCGGGGGTAATTGGGTAGTTTACACCAACCTAGGTTTAACTCCCATAGTGAAAACGGAAGAAGCGTGATCATGGAACTGCCAAAACCACGTGATTGTTGTTACGTCTTCTGTAACGTTTAAAAAACGGAATTCTTTTCCAAATAGTTTTGATTTATTTTTTCAAGAAGAGCTTCATAATCATGTTAATAGCTTTTGTAAATGTCGATTATTTTCGGCTGCTTTATTAACAATGGTAGCAATTTGCTTTCAGTAACTTAAATGTTTTGTTCCGGTTATTTTTTAATGGTAAATAAGTTAGAGCGGGGAATTATTTCAGAATGAAATTGTCAGTCGACTCCATCTAAATTCTGAATAATGTTCAAATTCAATTCTGTACATTATATCCATATTTATTCATAAATTTTTCCATTTATTTATTTATTCATTTATGTATTCAAAAAATTCATTTATTTATTTATTCGACCGTTCATTCATTCATTCATTCATTCATTCATTCATTCATTCATTCATTCATTCATTCATTCATTCATTCAACCGTTTATTTATTCATACTTTTATTGGATTTATTTCATTCATTCATTCATTCATTCATTCATTCATTCATTCATTCATTCATTCAACCGTTTATTTATTCATACTTCTATTGGATTTATTTCATTTATCATTTATTTATTCATTCATTTATTCATTCATTCAACCATTTATTCATTCATTTATTCATTCATTCAACCATTTATTCATTCATTTATTCATTCATTCAACCATTTATTCATCCGTCCATTTATTAATTTGATAATTTATTAAACCATGATTTATTCATGCTTCGACTCATTCATTCATTTATTCAATCATTTATTTATTTCAGAACACGATGTCGAAGAGTTACGAGGAGTTATAATTGCAGTGACCTGTATCTTCAGTATTGTGGCTGTTGGTTTTATTTCACTTGTAATTTATAAGAAAAGACAGAGTTTTAAAGACATTATTATCACCAAATCTACAGTTGCTAAAAGTAACAGTTATAAATCTAACGTAGGAGGTAATGAACTACACTTTGTATCCCTGATGAAAAATTAAAAATAAAATCTTTTCTAATCATACAAAAAAGTGTGACAAAGTCGCAAATCATATATTTAAATTTTTTATTTGGAATTTTAATCCTTTGAGATTTATTTTTTCATCATCAAAATTGCCAACATTTTAAAAAATTTGAACTTAAAAAAGATTAATATCACACTTAGGCTTTAAAAGGTGATTTTAATATCTTGAAATATGGGTTATTTAGCTAATAGAATTCGGAAGCTGTCGACAGTTTCCGTAACGCTGACGGAACTTGTACAATGGACGTTTGTGCTACTGGTATACGAAATTGTTTGGTCCAACTGGCTATAGTAGATGTGCTTGACACTATTGACAGTTCACCGTGGTCAGATTTAAGGATCAACAACATGTTGCTTAGCTGGCTAGCAGATTGTACTAGCAAAATCGTAATTTACTGGAAAAGAGCCTATAATATCTCATTCACAACTAGCCAGCAATTTGTGTTTTTACACAATCCCAGTTTTCTGTGGTCTGAGTCAGTCGTACTCAGAAAACTATCGTGTCCAATTGTTCTTGAAACAGAGTGTGTAGGTAGAATGAGTTACCATTAATAGTCCAAAAGGTACTAAATAATTTTTTTATACTTAAGCAGGTAAATCGGACTACTCCAACCAGCTCATGGTGATAAGCGATGAATGGGAACTGGATCCTCGACAGCTAAAATTCTGTGCAACCATTGGGCAGGGAGCGTTTGGAAAAGTTGTTACTGGATATTATAATGACAAAAAGGTCGCCATTAAACTTGTGAAAGGTAAGTTGATTGGATATATTGGTTGGTGGTTGGGAGAGACAGGGAGTCAGTTTCATTCTTTGACGTTATGGGGAGGGGCAACGAAATTGTCGAGGGAAAAAGTGAGTGATCTTCCATAATCCCCATCTAATACGATACTTCTTGCAAGCTTATACGTGGAAGTCACAAGCCCTTAGGCCAATTCGATTGTTTCCGTGTTACAAATTCAAGCTTGGCTTACTTTTGTAAACATAATTCAAGTGGCAACCCAGAAGATGGTGCTGATGGTAATCCAAATGTTTCAGACAAGTACAGACCAGTAACCTTTAAGTCATCTTAACCACAGTCAGACAACAATTAAACTACTGTATTTTGAACGATACATATGGTTAGATATTGTTTTCTTGGATCGAATCCTAATTTAATAAAACACATGCGATAAAAGCTGTCTAATAATGTTCCAAATAAAAATTAGCCCCTTCACCTTTCATCCTGCACAAACATACATCAAACCACTAATGGTTTTATATACAGATAAGCCTAACAAGATTAATGTTGTGTTTTTACACAATAAATTGTAATTAGTTACATGGCATGACGGAAAATGGCAGAATCCCAATTTTTGCTTGTCTTGATAAGCCAACGTATCTGATTGTACATCAATAAAAATGGCGTCTAATCTTTTCACTTTATCTTCTGCTTGATGATGTGTTTATTATTACACACAATATAATGACGTCATTGTTATTTGTGTAGTATATTTGGATAGCCTACAGTACCGTTACGATCACCTTTGTGTATTTTTCTAGTAACTGCATACGAGAAGCAATCTTTGATGGACAGACCGACACGAGACTACTGTACATAGAACGTACGACTGTTAGTTTCAGTAACCTTTAAAAATTTCCTTTCACAAACATTACCTGGTCTATTCTGAAGAGTGGTAGATCTTAAGGCATTATACCTAAACCATTTTTTCTCAATGAAATCTACAATTGTTCAATAGTTACACCATCATGTCATGCTCAATCGTCATCATTTCGAGCCATTACAAACTCCGCCTGAAACCTTGACATCACAAAGCACTATCTCGTTTTAAGTTTCAAAAAGCAACAATTCGATTGGACTGCACGTTAGCGAATACATCCAATGAGAGCCAACAACAGAATGTTCTCGTCTGCCATCGTAGATGTCATTTTATTATTTCGAACAAGGGAGATAATTCGTAATTTATAGCTTTTGACTTGTGAAGAAGACAAGTACCTAATAATGAATTATGCTTCTATATGCCCGCAATATTTGTATAGGATTGCAGTTAATTTTTGTATAACACCAGAGTACGCAAGAACTTAAGAATTCTAAATTCTTGAACATTGAAAACAATTCCACCCACCTTATTTACTTGTTCTAATTGGTTTATTCTATATTTTATCCTGCTATAAATATATTGTCCAGGGAATTGTTAGAACACAATAGATGCATTATAGAAATCTCTTTAACAATGTGACAACTAGCCTTCTGGCGATTTGAATAATAATGGTTTATGACCATGATTAGTAAAATAATAAAGTAAATATCAAGCTTGTTATCCATCAAGTCAAATAATTTTGCACAAAAAATGAATAAATAAATAAAAATGTTACAATTGATATATTGAGCACCGTTTTAACAGTGGTATTTCTATATAGCTCTACAATTGATGTATTGAGTACTATTTTAACAGTGGTATTTCTATATCACTCTACAATTAATGTATTGAACACTATTTTAACCGTGGTATTTCTATATCACTCTACAATTAATATATTGAGCACTATTTTAACAGTGGTATTTCTATATCACTCTACAATTAATATATTGAGCACTAATTTAACAGTGGTATTTCTATATTGCTCTACAATTGATGTATTGAGCACTATTTTAACAGTGGTATTTCTATATCATTCTACAATTGATGTATTGAGCACTATTTTAACAGTGGTATTTCTATATCATTCTACAATTGATGTATTGAGCACTATTTTAACAGTGGTATTTCTATATCATTCTACAATTGATGTATTGAGAACTATTTTAACAGTGGTATTTCTATATTGCTCTACAATTGATGTATTGAGCACTATTTTAACAGTGGTATTTCTATATTGCTCTACAATTGATGTATTGAGCACTATTTTAACAGTGGTATTTCTATATCATTCTACAATTGATGTATTGAGCACTATTTTAACAGTGGGAATAGTTTGTTATTGTAAATGAATAAATAAACGAAAAAAAAATGAATGAATAGAAAATATGAATGAATAGAAAATATGAATGAATGAATAAATAAATAAATAAATAAATAAATAAATAAATAAATAACTCAGATATGCATGATGTCTACTTCAATCTAAGAGCTCGACAGGAACCAGTGTTTCAATTCATGTTAAAATTTAACTCGTTATGTTAACCGCATGATGTAGAATCTTTTCAGTCTGAGAACCCCTGTTAATACATTTCACTTTACTTTCTCAGTAGAAAATATCACAATCTTTTCTCTATTTTATACAAATTTTCTCTAAGAGAGGAGAGTCAACATTATCTCCCTTAGATATAAATCAATTCAGACCACAACTAACTGACTAATTACAGAATACATCCGAAGTCGTTTTATTCTCATTTCTAATTACATAGTCGTGGTTTCCGGTTAGAAAGCAAGCTCTAAGGATTCTGTCTTTGCAGAGCGTGGACCTTTCGAGTAATAAAATCACGTGACCATATGACAATCTGGACGTAGTTCCGGTAAATACTGGCTGCCATTCGTTATCTGATATTTTGCAGAGCGGTAGGGAACTTTCATGGTAGGTCGCTTGAGCTTGTGTTTTATTGTTTTCGTGGTTAATCCACGTTCATGGAGGAACGGTGCAGAAGAACACACTCGACCATAGATATACTGCTGGCAGCTTGTAGTTCATGTGAGAACACAGGTGCACATTTTGGACCAAATGTTGTCGATGGGCACCTCCACAGCCGGCTCTCGACATTTTAGTAACGATCTTAGTATTAGACTCAATCCTCTTCTGGCGACTTTGTTTATCTAGCTCTTGCTATTTTCATTTCTATTTTTCTTAAGTCGTGGTTTTTTCTGTCAGAATTTTTTAAAATAGGCATTGGTTGAAGAAATAAACACGCGTATTTGATCTTTGGGGAAGAGTAACATAGTATTTTGAATAGTAAAGTAAGAAGTCTGTTACGATGCCAACCAGTAGTGCCAGTCATACCAATCAAATAAACTGCTGGCCTATTTCGGGAGCCATATTCATACCTATATATCATAATTGTTTGTTAGCACAGAGCAATTTCTTTGTTGAATTCCTCTACATCTGTCTAAAGATATCCGCCATATGCTGTATGGAGGGGTATCGGTGTCAAAACGATATATCATTGAGTTAATTTGATCTTTTGTTTGCTGTCTACCACACACGGCTTATAGTTGGTGATCACTGTTTGAGATCATTACTGCCAATGTTCACAGCGTGCGGTATCGACATGTAGTTTACCTGTCAGAAATGTACAGACGTCTGGAGTTTGTTAATTTATTGAAATGGGTTAATAAAACAAACCGAAAAAAATGAAAGAATTTATGGTCGTTGGTGGTTGAAGAAAAATGACGATATCGTAATTCCAACTGCAATTGAAACAGCATATCAGCATTTCTTTTAAGAAACAGTTTGTATTTACACCAAAAGGAAATTGTGTTGGGTCAGATTTTTCTCTGGTTAAGTCTTTTAGAACCTATGATCCCCCCCGCGAGTTGTTTTGGGCTAAACCTGAAATAAATGATAGCTATAAATACGAGGAAGTGTAGCTATTACGAATCGTGAATGAAGTATTTCATGATGAAAAGTTATTGCTTATTATCTCAATTGTATTCCACAATATATTATAATTTGAGAAAAAAAACGACTGACACCTGTTTGTGAAATTATTAAGCAGTAGCCTAAGTCCTTTAAATTAACAAGTTGCATAATGAGAGATTCCTACTTAGTGAGTTTAAAATGGAAAGCGCCCCTAGGCTGAATTTGAAGACTAAAGATGTGTTACACTTGAAAATTGAAAGTAGATTATTCAAACAGTTTTTTGACTGAAATTGTTTACTCAGACACACGATTAAATTAAAGGGTTTGCAAAAATTATTGTATGTCTTACATTTACACCATTAATATGTGTAGTCCCACGACTGCGGGCTCACGTATAAAAAAAGTGAGCAGCACTTTTGCAAATACCATTTAAACCAATTGCTACTCGATGAGTCACATCATAATCTAATTTAATTTTTGTGGAATTACAAGAACTAAAGACTTCCAATGGGATCCAGAATTATACAAATTGAACAAAGCTACAAACATCTTTAAAAGGCCTTTAAACAGATTTTCAAAACCCAAGTCAACTAATTACAAACATGTAATAAACGTGACCGAGATCTGTTTTAGATCTAATTATGAAATATAAATAAAAAACCTAATTAGTTACACGAGTATATTGTTATTCTTTTTATAGAATCCCCTCGGGTGGTTTTAAAGTGGTCTTGAATTAACAAGATGTTCACAATGGGTTTGTACTTGGCACTAGAGAAACAAATCATTGCATCTTCACAATTCAAGCTATAACCAACTTCGTCTTTAACTTTGGCCACAATATCTACCTTTTCTTGTATCACAGAAGTCTGTAAATGCAGTAATTTGATTAGATTGTACGCTAGCGAATACAGCCAATCAGCTCTCAAGAAAAAGATTGAACATTATGGCTGATTGTTTGTAGCCGATTGTCTTATCGAGAGCTCTAATTGGCTGTATTCGCTAGCGTCCAATCCACCCAAATCACTGTATTTGCTAACTTCCATAATTCAAGAAAGGTGGCTATTGCAGGCAAGGTATAGCATTCAATTCCTAACCTTGATGTTCTGCCAGATGAAGTTGATAAGTACTGACTGGTAATGCCACACTAGCAGTAATTTGGATTTCTGGGGTAGTTTTGCGGTTCGGATCGTCAGTACTTGGGGATTTTGATCATTATTGTACATCATCTTAACAAAACATGACTATTTTTGTCTTTCAGAAGGTGCCCCATTGTCTTACAAGGAAGATTTAGTAGCCGAAATCAGCTTAATGAAGAGAATTGGACATCATCCAAACATTGTGTCTATGATAGGAGCATGTACAATTTCTGAACCCGTGGCGTTAATTATGGAATTTATTCCCCATGGTAATTTACAGACTTTCTTAAAGTAAGTTGTATTGTCTGTATTTACATGTATACAAAGATTACCCCCTTGTTTCAATACGGTGGCTGGTTTAAGACTCACGTTATCTTAGTTTTTAAACGGATGTCGACATCTTGATATTTGTCGCGCCACCTAACTGAGCCATAAGAATTACTTTTCTATTTGAGATCTGACGTCTAGCTTGCCTGCATTTTTTTTTTATTAAAAAAAAGCACTACCGGAAGTGACTGCATTCAGTATTGATTTTAACATTCAACTATATCATGACGTGATTGGAAGCCAGGGGGAAACGTGTCTCAATAGAGAATATGTTCAACAAATATTCGACCCTTCCATTCTACTAGGCAACCCCATAATAATGTCGGTTAAGGTGGTTATCTTAGTATTATGACTGAAAGAATACCTCATCCGTCCTTAATTAGCCACCGTATCAGTGCAGCACTCACGATAAAACTGCAGCACTAATGCGTCCTAATTAAGCCACCATATCAATACAGCACTCGTGCGTCCTAAAAAAAGCCATTATATAAATGAAACACTAATGCGTCCCAAATAAGCCACCATATCCACTCCATAGCTACATATCTTGGCATGCATCAGAGAGTAATAAACCAATTGTTTGTTAGTTTAGATGCACTTGTCTAGTGTAATAAAAACATTGATAGCTGACACTTGTTGGTATTTAATATCGGTATTTCTCAAACGATGAAACGAGTGTCGTATTGATGTTTGCCAAGCATGTAGTAGGGCCATTGAAAAATTTTGCAAAACTACTTTAGTCCAGTGTCTTGCCCAGTATTTCGAATATCAAATGTTCACATGTTCTATTATGACTGGTATTGATATAAAATAACACAAACCCTATTCTGGTAACAAACCCCAGTTTGATCACTTCATACTTCGTTTTTACAAACGGCTTTGGAACCAATCCTTAAACAATCCTGTAGCGACATTTAGGTGTAGAGATCACATTAATAACAGAACACAATTTTATGGTATACTACTCCTTAAGGAGAAGTGTAATGAGTGGTACACCATAAAATTGTGTTCTGTTATTCAATCCTTAAACGTTCTCTACGGATGTTGTTAAAGAAACAACATGTTTTGGTTGTAATCGAAAACTACTCTTAAACCACTGCTTTAAGAAACATGTTATCTGTTGTGCACATTACCGAATAATTTTAATATGTTTTAAGACACTGTTTGAGTGCATGTTACATAATATAATGGGGGAAACAGACCTAACCTTTTTCTCAATAATGGGTTAATTCCCCCTATTACTCTTATTGAGTTTATTTGTAATAAGGGTTAAGGGTTAATTTATATCTCATATTTATGCTCTCTATGATGCCTAATAAATTTCCACTCTGTGTTTTCTGTAAAGATATCGAATAAACTTCTGGTTTGATTCTATTTTTACCAATTTTCGTGATATCATCAGTATATTCTATTATTTAATACGGTTTTGAAGTATAACAGTGCATGACAGAATGTCAGTTGCGCTTCTATGAATCATTAGATGAGGGTGGGCACGGCTGGTAGGAGGTGAGGAATTGTCAGGGCGAGCTTACACGCATTTCTTTCGTTGAATAATATGGATGATTCCCTTTTTAACGGTTATATCATTTTTTTTTATTTGAGTCTGAACGATATCAATATATTTATCATTTTGCTCAATATTCCTTTCATATTTCGTTCCAGAAAATGTCGAATGGAAGGTGATTTCAGAAAGAGAACAGACGGTCAAAGCGAGATTATTTATTCTCTGGTTCAAGATTCTGGTGGAATTGACAATGGTGTCATCGTACCGTCTGATATGCTCAGTTTCGCCAGACAAATTGCCATGGCAATGGTAAGTCATTTTTGTATTTGCGAATGATGAGTACTTTAACGATTGTCCTCGATTCACAAACATCTTACGATAAACATGCTTCATTTGACACAAGTAACACCTTTTCAACAAAAATTCGGAAAACATAGTTTTTTAACTGACATAAGAAGGAAATCAATCGGGACCAGAAAAAGATGAACTGGAATACACTGAATGCCGACGTACACTGTATTACGTTTTATGTGGTAGAAGTGCATTGCACTAGAATAGATCACATTTAACCTACAGTCGCTACAACTTCATGCCAAAATACATAACTTCGTTTGTTCATGTCTATTTTGATAAATTAAAGTGCAAAAGCACAGCAACAAGCGACAACCACCACAAAATAATTTCAATTTGACTTCAAATGTAATTCACATCCCTTGCTAAAACGAATAAAAAAAATTTGGCTTTCCAGGAAAACAAAGCCATCTTCTGCTTGTTGAATATTTTATTATCAATGACCAGAAGGTAGAATTTGTCAATCGGAAATCAGGTTAGAAACTAATGATAGGAACTAATACGCCATTATCGAACTAATTTCATGTCCAACTAACGATTTGGAGGAAAACACAAAGCAATTGATGAAATCTGTGAGTGGAATTGTGGTCAGAAAGAAAATCGCCAAGAGTGAAGGTGATAATTTGGTGTTGATACTATGTAGTTAAAATAGAATTACTGTTCCATTATTTCACCTGGCCCTAGGTGGCTGTAATTACTATAATAATTACTCTTACTATAACGCCAAACAATTGTAAAACAGTGTTCTATAGGTAAATAGCAATACTAGTAACCTCAGTTCTGATCAAACATTGAAAAAAAAAACATCAACGTTGACATATCTGAAAGGTGGAGGTCAAGTCATCCAGATTTTTCAAGAATTCATAAGTCACTTCCTACACTGATATATCTATAGTCTCGTGCACAGAGCCTCGGTTTAATGTCTGAAAGACTAGACGTTTTTATCAACCCCTCTGAAGGTATTATCTCGCCTTATGATGAGAATACAAACCTGGACCTAAGCAAACAATTAAATGAAGGATGCTATACACCCAATATATGTAAGCCTCGATACCACGGGTTCGAATCCATCCCAAGGTAAGACAGGGGGCAGTGTCATGGCAGTGCATCCAGATTCGAACTATGAATCTGAGATTCAGTCCGATGTCGACATTCAAATCATATACACCATGTTATGTCAATAATGTGCAAACATCTGCATCTGTTTTTGAGTAGAAGAAACAGCTGTTGAATAAAGCTATGTACTATCTATATCAAACAATAGAACATCTCTTTCACCAACAGTCATGATGTTACCACGCTAGGCAGTATGTTTACTAAAACTTAATGAAACTTGCCAACTCATGTTCTTCCTGTACTTTCGTTTTCTTTTCAAATTTTTCATTTAGTGTAGGTAGAAATTAAAGATCTAGATTAAAGGGACAGACGCGCCACTTGTTACCCAGTCGTACCTTAATTTCAGAAACGAGAATATTTTAGCTCTACCAATCAGTAATAGTGTTCACAGTTCACGGTCGTAATTTGAGCCTTTAAATCCATAAGTGTCAAGAATTATCCGCGATTAAATGTTAACATTCTAAGATACTCTGTGATATATAGAAAAGACATATATAGAAACAGTGAGTAAAATTCCTAGTTTGAAATATTTTTAAAGGAATTATGCGATTTTCGTACTTTGTAAGTACTTCTGAAGGCTATTTATATATATTTACATATTCAAGACTCAAGTCAACACCCCCAAAATGGCGCAATTGTCTCTTTAAAGTATGCACTTTATGTTGGTATGTTTTTTTTTTCTAAATCTATATCAAATTTACTCTAAAAGCAGATATTTAATTTTCATTCTACTTGTTTGAAATATAACGTGAAGTATCTTGACAGTTTGTACTTGAATTCGAAATTTATATTCCAATATTTCACTACAGATTAAATTTCTCAAGTGGTTACACTAATTTTATGTCACTTTGAAATAACCGGCATGAACTAAACGTTATACGGCGTCGTGTCACTTTGGATTCCATATAACCTGCATGGACTAAACGTTATACGACATCGTGTCTGTATGTCACTTTGAATTCCATATTACCGGCATGGACTAAACGTTATATGGCGTCGTGTCTAATGAAGATCTGAATGAAATGAATGCTTACTTTTCTAGTCTGATGTCATGCAGCGTGAGGAATTTAACTCTTTTTCGATGTCGTGTCGATTGATCGTTATGTACTCTTAACTTACAGTTTCAAAAATGTCTTGTAAAATCCAACTTTAACTTATGAGTGTTTAGGAAAGTAAGAATTCATGTCGTTTATAAAATTGTTATTACTATCGCTCAGATCGACAACACCGATGTTTTTATCTATCCTGTTTGTTTTGTCTCGGTGCCATGGAAGATTTGCATTACGCATTGTTTTTTAGCCTTAGGAATTCCAAGAGCGCCAGAACCTCACGTGAATTAGTGTAAATAATAGAAAAGGTAGAAGGCATAACTTAAAGAGTAACATTCTTAATTTCGTTTATGGCTAATGTCAAAAGTCGTATTTTAAAGGGATTGTAAATGTGTATTGTGGACAATAGTAGCTTCAATATACATCATTCCAATTTTCACTCAGACGTCTATGGTTCTTAGTACTTAATGTACTGCGCCAATGTGGTATTTCTAGCTCATGACCTATTTTTTGCAACACGTTGTTGTAAAGTCTACTTTAAAAAACCCTCCAGTGTTCAACCCCATTACCGAACGCACTTTTATAGAAATCGAAAGTAGATCGTGTGTTGTTTGAAATGGAGATTAAGAAAGGTATGTTTCCGTACGGTTGATAAGAATCTTTTGAGAATAAAAAAAACCGCGATGAAAGTATTTTATATCGCCTGATTGAACCCCGAGGAACCAAAAAAAGATGAGTTCTTTTGTTCTAAGGATTAAAGACGCCATTTCAATTCCCATTGTCTGAGTATATTATATATTGTGGCTATTTGGTTTGTAAACAAAACTGAAATACCAGCCGATTCACGGCCAGGAAAACAGAAACACCTATCCTCACCTAGTTGAAAACTAAAGATGAAAGCTACAGGTATATCGCTTGATAGGTTTTCAGTAATGAATGAAGTGGTAAATGCAATGTAGATTTCTGTCCCACTTTTCTTCTCAGGCCAATGCTATTCTATATTGTTCGTTTTCCAGCTATCTAGGAAACATTAACATGCACAAAGTGTTCGTTCTTCTAAATGCGTTGTTTCTCAATGCCAAATACCATCCCTTTCAGATTTAGCCTGTTGGTCATTCTATTTACCGATTTTATTTCAATCCAAGGAAATAGCCCACGTTTCCGGTAAGATTTTTGACAGCTTTCCGCCTTCTCACGCCTTCAGTTGTCGTGCATTGTACTCTTGGAGTAATACATCGGGGACTGATCTTGTAACAGTTTATGACAGCAATTTGTTAAAAACCCACTCAAAATTCATAGCATTTTTAAAAACCGTTTCGTATTACATTTCATTTGATTTTAATATTAATTTCGTTTCTTGATGTTATAAATCGGAAATTTGAATCACTAATTATTAAAACAATCGGCTGCACGAATTGTCAGTCCTGTCAGCGCGAGAAACGATAACCGAGACTATTATGGCATCTCTTAAGTTCATATAATTTGTGGTGATTGCTGACCAAATTTGATTTTGACTCGGTTTCTGTCCGTGGAAGTGAACTATTTCGATCTGAGAACATTTTTGATTGCATTGATAAAGAATAATAGCTTATACCATCGCCATAAGACAGACAAAATCCTATTTCGAGACTGCCTACATCGTATTTTGAGACGGAAGTCTTGAGAAGTCAGATGAGTCTAGATATTTTGACGGATATATCACTTCACACCAGTTTGTATCAATTCATAATTACCAATTGACTAAAACATACGATAACACTTAAACCGTTTTCATTCCCTACATAAATATTTACTTGAAATAAAGTGATATACCATTGATATACTTCTTAACATCGGCACTAGACGTCTTTTACTATATCGTCTCTAAAATATATCATATTTCCTATTATATCATAATTACACAAAAACTTTACACTTCGGCTTAGTCATAATTTAAATTTTAACAAATAGATTTTATGACTTTCGGCTTTTTTTTCATTTTGTGACTAAAATCTGCCACGTGAAAAGAACTAACTTGGAAAAATATTGATGAAGACATAGTTAAAGAGATTGTAAAGGGATGGATTGAATCGACGTCTTGCAATTCTACTACGACTACGTCTATCAGTATAATATCTAAGGATAATGACGTCAAGAAAAGATTAGCTTTAGTGGATATGCAAGATTTTTTAAAAGAAAGGTGTTATTATTCTATAAATCGGAGCATAGCACAAGACCAATCACAAACACATGTAAACCAGCTCTACTCTGGATTTGTGAAGTGAAAAATACGTGTAGTTCTTCGAGTCTCTTTAAAATGTTTATTAGTATAATATTCAGGATTGACGTCATAAAACGTATTTTTGTTCTAAAAAAATGCAAAACATAATCGCTATCTGAGTTGTAGTTGAAAGTTTTGGCATTTTTCAATTCCCAATCAACAATTTTCGACAGTTGTGAGTTTGCCAACTTGATGTTTGCTGTTTGAGAAACAGTGTCGTGGTGAAATAAGGCTGCCTGTCATACTCGAGACAAAACAAGACAAGACACAAGCGCGCGATGAAACCCCACACAGACCTCTCACAATCAGACATATCACACGCATAGTCGTTCGATTGAGCAGATCATATTAGTTTATTCCTCTTGTCATTTAGTTATGTTATCTTTAAATATGCCATACAACGCTTATAACGTCATGCAATGTTTATAATGCCATGCAATTTTTATAATGTCATGCAATGTTTATAATGCCATGCAATTCTTATAACGTCATGTAATCGTTATAATGCCATGCTATCCTTGTAACGTCGTGCAATCCTTATAACGTCGTGCAATCCTCATAATGTCATGTAATGTTTATGATGTTAGGTAATCCTTATAACGTCGTACCATCCTTCATTATAACGCCATGTAATCCTTATAACGTCACGTAATCCTTACAATGGCATGCAATCCTTACAATGTCAAGCAATCCTTATAACGTCATGCAATGTTTATAATGCCATGCAATCCTTAAACGTCATGCCCTTATAACGTCGTACAACCCTTCATTATAACGCCATGCAATCCTTGAACGTTATGTAATCCTTATAACGTCATGCAATCCTTTTAATGTCGTGCAATCCGTATAACGCCATGCAATCCTAATATAATAACTATACAGCTTTGAGTTTTACATGTAAATTTAGTGTTTTCAATTGAAGAGTAAGCTTATTTAAAGGGACTTAACTCTGACACTATATATTTTTTTCTCTTTTCAGGAATACATGGCCGAGAAGAAATACGTCCACCGAGATTTAGCAGCCCGAAATGTCTTACTTCATCATAACAAGATTGTGAAAGTTTGTGATTTCGGACTATCACGTGATATATACAATGATAATGAATACAAGAAATTAACCAATGGAAAGCTACCATTAAAATGGATGGCCATTGAATCCTTACGGGACAGAATTTTCACCACTCAAACAGATGTTTGGTCGTTTGGTATATTACTCTGGGAGATTGTCACCATGGGTAAGCCAATCTAATTAGAGTTGAATTACAATTTTTTATCTCTGATATTTCCTATTGTAATCTTACACGTTATCTACCGTAGTTGCGCTCCAATGACGTTAGTTTACCCAGTCAATGTAGAACCCGTCATAGGCTGTCATTTTGCTCTACTTTGGTTCATGTCTAGCTCGCAATTCGTAATTTCACAAAATATCTGCTGTGAAATGTTTTAGGGTCTCAATGAAAGCACTGGGCCGGGCAAGGGCATGCTTATTATTCCAGATTTTAAATGCCCTATATCTTGATATTTGTCTATTTTAGGTGCCTCGCCATACCCTAATATAGCACTAGCTGACCTATATTATATTCTATCTAATGGATACAGAATGGAGAAACCCAGTAATTGCTCAGAAGAATTGTAAGTATATCATATCTATTATAGGATTTTTTATCTTTCAAATTTAATTTTAATTTTAAAAGGGTGTGGATCGTGAGATATAAGAATCGAGTAACGAATTAATCACCCTTTCACGATAATCCTGTTCTTGTTCTGGCCGGGACTGTTCACTTTTCTGTTTACAGTTTTGTTCACTGTTCTGATCACAGTTTTGTCTTGTTCTTTTTCTCGTTTTGGGGTTTTTTTTTCTGTGTCCACCCATCCCAATCTGTCATAAGATCTAGACGATTATAATTTGAAAAGAGAAATAGAAAAAAAGAATGTATAGAAACCTGACTAGTGCAGAAAATTGATTTTAATTTCCGATTAAAATTCAGCCTACCAAAATCAACCTAGATATTTTTTCACTATAAAGTGAAAACGTGACGATGTTTTGTCGGTTTTTTTCTTTTCAAAATCGTGATTATCATATCATAATAATGTGAAATTTCTATTTTCTCTTGTTTATGTCAGTGTTAAAGAGCTTCATTTCAAAAATTGCATATGAAATATTAAACTGGAATCTTGAGACTTTGTACTTTATCATGAGTTGGAATCGAATGCCAGATCTAAGTCTTTATTTTTTCTACTAATTTGCAGAGTGGTCAGACTTTCCACTTATCTAGTTGAACAATTGATTATATTACGTTTAACTGTGTTTGAATTTGTGAATTTCTATTTGCATGCATTAAAGTAGGACGTAAACCGTTATCCATTTTATTTATTGTCTATTTGCAGATATAGAATTTTGCGACAGTGCTGGGAAGACAATCCTGCAGACCGTCCAACATTTACAACAATACGTCTCATGTTAGAGGAACTACTGGAACAAGATTGTGATTATCTTCTCTTAGATAATATCGATGTACCTTTAAATATGTCTGAAAACAGTAGCAACCCCATAGACTCTATTCAACAAGACGGGGGCGCAACGGGTTCAACGTGTGCAACAGGATCGAGCAGTCCGGCCCCTGCCCCACCTCGACCGTTGTATACAGGCCGTAGAGACAAAAACTTGAAAGTGAACGTTTGCGTGCATGATCAATCCACAGAGAGACTTATCTACAGACCTTCAGAGTCCGATTCGACGACGTCTAGTCCGTGAACGTAACGGAATCGTTTCCTTTGTGGCGTATAACTCAGAACTTACGACAGAATTAGAAGGAAAATTATTGAATTCCTATACTAGTAAAAAAAAATCCGCACAGGATACACTATATTTAAATTCACACACAGACATCCCGATTCTTACAACCAATAAGGAACGAAAATCCATATCTTTGGGAGAAGACTAATTTGTGTTTAATCAGAGTAACAGCGGACGTGGGAAACGATGTCGCTAAATATTTGGCCTTTATATGGTTTTTGACTCCAGTCTGCTATGAATTGCTTTTACATACAAATATTATGATGCGGAGTCGTAATGATTTGTGCTACGTCTACGATAACATTAACGTTGGACCCTCTTTGTTAATTTACTTTTAAAGTGTTATGTAAATACAAAATATGTTAATCGTATCAGATCATTGGTTCGAGCTCCAGTGCACTTGTTACTGTTACAAATGACATTCATATCAAAATGGAGTTCCCCAGGGTTGTGCTCTTTCACCACGTGTTTTTAACCGTTCTTTTAACGACCTTCGTCCCTCCACAAATACATCGTTGTGAATAAATTTATGTGTTCAGTATTTTAATGGATTTTTTCAGTATCGTTCTGGTGCTAGTATATTTTACTATAAGCCGGAGAACTTGCTACTATAAAATGTGATATTTATCTTGAAGAGGTGTAAGATATTCAACTAAATGGGAGATAGAAATGTTACTTTAAAGTGCCTAAATGACGTGAGATTGGAAATATTCAGATGAGATTTATTTGGAGTTAATGGATTACCGCTGTGCATTAGTACTTTAAGTTTCGTCAGTGTATATTTTGATAGGAATATGTCTTTAAAAAAGCTAGGGAGCAGATTGACTATTGGCAGATGAAAGTGAGAAATGTGCCGCTGCATTAAAGACACTATTAGATCAACTGCTTCAGCTGTATTTCTGAAAAAACTGAAATGTTGCAAAGTACAAACAGATATCTCAAAGACTGTCATTTCTTTTAAGAAAATCGAAACAATCCAACCTTAACAACTAACGTGAAGCTTTTAACCTTTGCTACTTTAATGCAACCATAGCAACTTTCCAGCTTAAGTGAAAATATTGTGCATTGCAAACGAAAAAACGGTTTCTTGCTAGTAAAATGTGAAACATCGATGAAAAATGGATTATCAAATCCCATGTACAGTTGTAAATGTATATATTGTGCCATAGAATGAGCTGGCTTTTTAACTATGATTCGGGTGCAAGTTCGTGAATATTAGACGCGATTTGAACTGGTTCAGTTTGTTTTTGAATGATGTGACCTTATATTGTACGCGAATTCGCCTGAATACTTAATGTAAGAATCAAACATGTCCTATCTAGATACATACTGTTAGAATCAAACATGTTTGAACTCAATTCGGATATGGTACAGTTTGTTAATGAATGATTTGACGGTCAAGTGGACGCGATTTTACCTGGATACATAATGTTACAATTAAACATGCCTGAACTCAATTCGGACATGACGCAATTTGTGTCACCGATTGCTCCCTTTAAAAGATAGTGCTTGTGTATATACAGATGGTTTTTATTTATAAGCTTTATTTATTTGTTGAAATCTAGTCATCATTCAGCTCAGTATTTTGAAATTTTTATGGTAAAGTTATGTCTCATTCTATGTATATTTGCATGGTCGAAATTCACTCGGCTTGGAAATATGCAGTTTCTCATCTTCTGCCTAATTTCATGGACGGAATTCATTCAGCTTTGTCAAATCAAAACCCAGCTCGACACAATAATGCATTAATCCAAAAATAATGTTTTCTTGGGCTTTTGGGGGATTAGGCATTTGGAGTCGCCACTGTTGTCAAGCAAAGATACTGTACACATCCAAGTCCGATTCAAAGTAGTAGACCTTCCTTTGGTTGAAATCCATTAAGCTGCACCTATTGTTCCTATCTGATAGGCTATCTTATGCCAAATTATCTTGCCGTTAAGAACGCGACCGGTGTTAAACATACGTATTTTCAAATTTATCATTTCTTGTAAGGTTCGTTTCATCCTACAAAACTTATTATAAAACTCAATTAAAATGCAGAAAATAGCCGTTAATGCCTGCCATAGTATTGAATTGACGCGCAAGTATAAAATGGCCTCTTTTGGCTTCCGTACACGACTAGTTAAGTCGTTTTAATTATGAATATTATAATTAAAGGACTGAATTTAAGACAGAGACATGCTCATTTTCATAACATATCATATATTTCTATGCACCTGAACTTTTGCCAAGCTGAAAAATCTTTGCACGTCGGGGTCCCATTAAAATATAAACAAGATCAGGCCACTTTATTTGTGGGTAGAATAAATTGTACTTGAAACTTTTAAAGGTTTAATCAGTCAGTCAGTACTTACACTACCTATAACGATAAAATGGACTGCTCGTGTTTGTTTTGAATCGGACCAAGATGCCCTAAAATATCTAATCTACTATGTTTTTGTCTTAATCTTTTAAATTTCTTATCTATCATAATCTAGTCTTTATAGCCTCGACAGTATTCTGATATTTTAGAATTGTCAGCATTTAAAAACTATTATCTTTGTTAGACTAAAATTATCAGTCAAATGAAGATTTTGATATTATGATTCTAAGATTATCGAGTTTTTGATAAAAGCTTAAAGCTTAAAAAAAAAAAATTGTGTTACAAATTTAATAAAGTATTGTTAATTAATTTCTTTGATTTTCAAATGTAAATAGTAATTATTTTTTTGTAATGTATTTTTCATTTTGTTGAAATAAATGAAGAGGAATCCTTGTCAAAAAATTATTTTAAATAATAAGTAGATATATTTACTTACTCAGTAGAGTTTGTAACCTCGTATTAAAAAAACATTGTTTGGCGATTTTTGTAGTATCTGAAAAGAACCTTGTTAAATATAGCATAACCCTTGGTGTTTGGTTGTGCTCTTTTCAATGAAATAGAATTTGTTATAATTTCCAAAAACAAAAAAACACTTGGAAAATATATTTCGTTTTCTTGAGTCTATTAGTTTAAATATTGTTGCAATTATTGCCTCAGGTGATAATATGCTCTCAACGTGGCTGCCAAAATTGTATTCTTGAATATTTAAATAATATATTTTACTTGATGTCTGAGACATCTTAACTGTATAATTTTTAATATTCTGATTAGTTCTAATATCAGAAGTCAGAATCCTTGATGGTAAATTGGTCAAAGAGTCTAAATGATAGTCAACCATAAGTTAAGTTAAACTGATCATATTTTGTCAAATTTTTTATTTGAATTGATTGATTACTGATTTGATTTGATTGATTACTGATTTGATTTGATTGTTTACTGATTTGAAATGATTGATTACTGATTTGAAATGATTGATTACTGATTTGAATTGATTGATTCAAGGACCTCATATTGATGTTTGCATTCTAAACAGGTTTTCATATAGGGCTCACACATTATTATTATTATCATTATTATTATTATTATTATAGTTATTTTTTGAGGGTTTGTGAAATAAAGACCCTGTTGAATATTTTGTTGTTGTAGACCAAAACGACCCGGTTTGTCAGATAGACATTCAAGAATCCTTATGGCTTGTGTTCGAGACAAAAGTTGCAGAAAATTCCTGAGGGCGGAGGGGGGATGAGCGATGCCTCTCCCTAAGAGGCCAGGTCTTAATAACATCCATGGGTATTAAATACGACAGGTTCTTTATGACAACTTTCATCAAGTGTAAAACATATCAAAACGTCTAAGTTTTTTGAGATTTATCATGAGTTGACTTAAATATCACACAAAGTATTTTTAAAGAAACCCGCGAATCTGACTCCATGTCATTGGTTAATCATTTCAGACGTCTTTCTGTCTCAGAAGCCAAGTGATTTTCCGCCAGTTTCTGGCCATAAAATTGTTGTTGCTCGTTCGATTGAGATACATTTGTTTTTAAAACAAAGATCCCAGACTTCCTCTTTTTATTTACCAAATAATACCACTAAAAATTTGGTTAGAGGGATGAAATTTAAAATGGTATAATTCTACCCTTGTACTCCACATGCGAGCCTTTGCTTCCCACCTCCACCCACCCCTTGAATCTCAGCCGATATTTTCCATTTTCTCGATTTTTTTTATTCCATGCTGGGATCCCTGTTAAAACTAACCCCAATGCACAGGTCATAAAACTTGCAAATAATATTAAGAAAAAAGGCTGAAGAAGGTTAATCTGTAACAATGGATTGGCCTACCTAAAAATTCATTTTTTTCGAATTTTGGTTGAATATTTAAAGACTTAGAACATATGTTCAGATTGTGGATGGGAAGTGGAGTCACCTGCAGGAAAGGCGAGAAATGAACAATCCATTCAGATTCATTCTGGAATATTAATTTGACCTTTGACCGAATTTAGTTGCTTTGGGAACTACCATACAAAGTTTGATAACTGGTTTGACGTCACTTAGTTGAAATGATGTTGACGTTCTTGGCGGTTATTTTGGCAACAGGCGAGAATGTTTTCTGATAATGGATGGTACAAGAAAATAAGTAGATAATAAACACCATTAGCTACTTTTTGTTTTTACTTCATTTGTTACTGTCAAAAATCTCTTATTAAATAACATAACGCGTTCTAGCAGGCTATATTGGCCTATTCTGTTATTCTTAAAGATCGCTTTTCGCTTCTTTAAGGGTAAAATCAAGCAAACTATTTAATTGTTTGTCATTATAATGAATTATCAACGTACTAATCAAAAGAAATTTATGTGGATGCAGAAGGCTCAAACTCAAATCCACTTGGTGTAACTAAATTTAGACTCCAAATTACGTCACCAAATGACGCGAAGCTATATTTGAACGTAGTACTGTATACTGACAGTTCTATGATTTGATGCACGTGGCGTAATTTTTCGTCAAATATCATGAGCTAAATCTATTCGGAAGGGAATGTGGAAAGTTAAAACCGATTTAAATTGATTCATTATATTTTCGCAAAATGAAAGTGAGAAATAATCTATCCTGATAATTCATGGAATACCAATATACTAGAGTAGCTGTGGCATGAAAAAAAAAATATCTTACATGTCCATGTTTGTACAGGCTGGAGAGTAGAAATAAGACTTGTTGATCTTTCTTGATCAGTCACTCGTCAGAACATTAGTATGCATTCCCTTCCTAATTAGGTAATTGACTTGTGAGACAGACTGGTATTGTCCCCGGTCATCAGAACAACCCTACCTTAGATTGATATCAGTATAATTATGCCGCCCAATAATCGAATATTACAATATATAAACACATTAAAATAAGGGGAGGCAATATTGTGTTTTACATACTGACAAAACTTAAGGACTCACTCCACTAATTCATTTGCCATCTCTTCCCATGTTAAAACACGAAATTCAACCTTCTATAACTTTTTCCAGAAATCTCGTTGAAAGCTTTCCAATATGTCGAATGAAAGCCTGACCAATTCTCAATGTCTCCTAAAAAATTCATTATATGATGACCATGAAAATTTTGAGCTACTAAAATTGAAAGTAGACTACTACCGGTTATACTCATCCGCTAGAGTTTGGCACTTCACAAAACGACTATTTTTAGAATTAGCCTTCCGCCTTTAAGTCTCTCATCATCTCACCAAATCTGAAAGATAATGCAATTTCAGACATCAAATTCCAAATCTAGACCAAATTTTACCCAAAAATAGGCAGGCAAAAACCCCAAAAGGGAGAGAGAAAGAAGATTTCTAAAAATAGCCTGGACTACATTCCTATACAATCATTTGCATAAAATGTTTTAGTGGAGTGAGTCCTTAAATAAAAAATTTGTAGGGCCAATAACTTTACGTCTTCACAATGTCAAGCTATAACGAACTGTATTACGAAGTCCATCTTGCCTGATATCAATAACATGATATAGATAGTTTAATAATTGATTTATAAGAAGACAGAATTCCTTTAAAACTTCTTGTTATGATGAAAGAAGGGAGCTAAGAATCGTTAATGAATCCAAATCAAACTTAAATAACAAAAAAGGAAAAACTGTTCACCCTATTTACATTCCTGAACGAAAAAGACTACCGCGGTTGCCTTTGTACATTAATCTATGTCGGTGGCGGTGAAAAACAAGACTCTTCTTTATTTCCAGAATAACTAAAAAACGCCGAGCCAGATCTTCCATAAACAAGACAATAAAGTGGAGTGTACAAAAGCGTGCACATATCGGTGTTCGTACAACTGACCAAGTCACATGAGGTTTTCTTACATCTGTTTATGGCAGCGGCTCTGCTGGTGGGAGTCAAAACTACGTTGGTATCTGGATCAAATGATTTCACTTGAAAGTTGCTCGTTGCTTCAAAATTTTTGACTTTAAAATCTACAAATAAATCTTTTTGTCATATAAAATATCAAAATAAATGCGATATAAGTAGGCCTATGTTGAAACAAAAATGAAGTTTAGGGGAGACAAACCCTAATTTTAATCAAATCCAATACGAATTGTTATTTATAACAAATGACCGTGGCTATTTGTATCGTGAGATCTATATGTCATCATGGTATATAGTCCAAGAGTCTTCCTTTTGTTGGTTTTCATGGCGCGGTCAAAAGAACGTTCGTAATTGGTGAGTCTTGTCAGGATTTTCGCTGACGGGCACGCGAGGAGACAAAAGATCTCCAGTCCGTCTTTTCCACTATGTCGATAATCACGTGCGGAGCAAGCAATTAAAAAGAAAATGAATTTGATTGGATGATGACGCTCTGTCATGCAGACGATAAACAATCGGCGACAAATATCAAACTGGTTTTATATTATAAATTTTGTCGGTAACCGATATTCTTGTTGTGAAAGCTCGGGCACATGTGAGATTCTACTCTAAATAGGCGGATATGGTTCCTGTTCTCTCACCATTGGAGGAATTGCAAAAACCACAGATACCTGATGGTGCAAATTGATCAGTACTTACATACCACTTTATAATTTCTAGGTTGACAAGCATATCAACGTCTAGCCAGATAGAAAGTCTAGCTCACTGGTCGACGGCCAAATTTGACCATGTTTGTTAACAAGAGTTGTGCCCCTTATTTCATTTTTTTCCCCGGTCGCGTTTTTATCACACATAACATACTAACCATACTTACTTGAATTGTATGTTATGTTTTTAGCAATGACAACATGATCATTTGCATTCCAGAAAAGAAAATCTGGTCCCTGGAATTAAATGGTAAGTCATACAGTGTGCTATGAAGAATATTTCGTCCGGACAATCTACGGCTTCCACCAGTCGAGGGACAAGTAACGTGCACGGTCTGTAACGCACGGAAGACACACATTATGATGAGTACATCATGAGTGGACACTCACTTTCAATTCATTTCTTCTTGTCCCTTAAAAGCGATCAGCATTGCATACATACGGACTGATAATAAACTGAGCTGTTTTCGCGCTCATGGATGCTGTACGGATCTTAAAATAACAAGAATGGCGTCAGGGTAATCCCAAAAAGGTCATTGGCAGGAGAAATCGACAACTTACCAGTGTATAAGGTATCAGGGTATATCCGTAAGATCTCCAGTCGTCTTTCCTCGCTTCAAAATAACCTATAAATTTACCCCCTGATGTATGGTTGACATAATGAGCATCGGACAAAGATGCATCAACAGGTACAGAGTATGCAGAGTAGTTTTCGCCTCCAACGTCAATGTCTTGATGGAAATGGGATGTGATGCTCGAGTTCCTTACTCGAATTCCACTAGCATCAGAGGCCTTTACAATAATGTTCACGTAAGTGTGTTCAAAAGGATTTTCAAGATTTAAGCCATGTTTGTTTGGCACACTAAACCACGCTACATTTCCAGCTTTCTCCAACGGTGTCAAAAGAAAATACGCAGGCTTTCCACCAACTATACCTCCAGTTTGTGTGAACAGTCCGACCATAATATCTTGGTTAGCACGAATACGTTGGAGTTCGCAGTTGAAGTCGTAATCATAAACTTCATTGAAAGGAATCGAAACAGCGAATCCGACCGTGTCGGTTATGTTCGATATTGTGACGCCTGTTACATCTGTGACGTTACTTACAGCCAATATGCGTAACGAGCAGGTATAGTTCTCGTGAATTAGAGGCGCTACAATGTAATCTCTACCCAATTCTTGGACTGGTGGCATGGATTCCTCTACGTGTCCACTCACTACTGTTCCGCCAATAGTAACTTTGGTTTCATAGTCTCCAGCCACAACCGCAACCGGTTTATCCGACACGACGTAAGAACCGGTTAAATCTATTTTATTCGTTACTATTCTCATGGTTTGAAAATCTTTCAGGGTATCATTAATCCAATCGCCAGTGGTGTAGGTCGTACCTTCGTAATTAACAGAGATTGGTCGTACCAGAGGAAGTCGCACCCTGATGTTTGTACCCGCGAAAGGCGCCATGATGGCGAACTCTGGTTTAGAAGAGATGTTCGGGTTTGCAGTCATAATATAATATTCATTTCCAAGTTCTTTCAGTTCCCGAAACTGACTGCCTTCAATTATACCACTATATTGATTTATGGCCACAACTGAAATTGGATTATTAGATCTTACCAAGCAGCCATTAGAGCTCTTCCCGGTAGAAGATGGCATTCGAGTAGAGGAAGTTGGCGAATGGCGCACCGATTCATAACCTAAATAGATCAGCTGTTTGTAAACGGAATTGCCAGTGTAAGGACATTCTAAAACTGTTATCGCCCTTGTTGAACCCCCATTTGCTGAAAAATATTCGCAAGGATAGGTCCCTGGTAGACCAATCCAAAAAACTGGATAACTCCATTTGCCTTTCGTAGGACAAGCTGTAAAGAAACAGAAAGCAACTAAATTACGAAGATCAGTTAATGTAAGAACACACCAGACACATCAGATAGCCTTGGGTTACAAACCTAACAGGTGCTTCTAACATTGTAATATTGTCTGCTTAAAGGTACGGTCACACGAACGGTCTTGATTGGAGATTTTTGTCGCCGATTAGAGTCTTGTCCAGAGATTCACCGTCTGGCACGGGCACGAGAGGAGACACAAATCACCATTCGTTAGTTTTCCAACATGTCGATAATCACGTGCGGAGCATGCAATTGAAAGGAAAATGAATCTGATTGGATGATGACGGTCTTGCAGACAATTAGACTGTCGGAGACGTGACAATCTTGTCGTAGAATCACGGGAACACGCGAAATGTTACTCAAGACTCTAATCGGCGACAAAAATCTCCAACAATTTTATAACAACAACAGGCGCAATACAATTGACTTGCATCTGAACTGTAGCAAGTTTATAAAACAAGAGAAATGTTGGAATAATAAATATGCCAATATACTAGGAATCACATAACCTTGGGTGCAAACCTACATACGACATTTTCCACTTTTTATTTTGAATAAAAACTTTTTTTTTACTTGGTGGAAATTAATTTTCACCTAGGTGAAAATTAATTTTTAATTAAAAACTTTAATTTTCACCTAGGTGATAATTATTTTCACCTAGGTGAAAATTAGGTGATAATTCGTGTATAAGATTTTGTGTTTTTGTCAGACAATTCGTGCAATTTTTAATTAAAAACTTTAATTTTCACTTGGTGACAATTATTTTCACCTAGGTGAAAATTAATTTTTAATCAAAAACTTTAATTTTCACCTAGGTGAAAATTATGTGATAATTCGTGTATAAGATTTTGTGTTTTTGTCAGACAATTCGTGCAATTTTTAATTAAAAACTTTAATTTTCACCTTGGTGATAATTATGTGATAATTCGTGTATAAGATTTTGTGTTTTTGTCAGACAATTCGTGTAATTTTTAATTAAAAACTTTAATTTTCACCTTGGTGATAATTATTTTCACCCAGGTGAAAATTAGGTGATAATTCCTGTAATTTTTAATTAAAAACTTGAAAAATAGAAGAATTTTTAATTAAAAACATTTTTACAAGATTCGTTGAATTATCACCTAGGTGAAAATTAAAGTTTTTAATTCAAAATTAAAAGTGAAATATGTCGTATGTGAGCCACTGTACAAACCCACCATTGCTTTAAATAGTAGGATTTTGCAGATTTTGTTGAAGAATACACAAATTTACAAATAAAATTAAAAACTTACGTGCTGTCGACGAAAAACTTATGTAAGCCATTACACAGAGTGTACAGCCAACTACAATCACCATTTTATTTATTCACCTGAAAAATAATAACATTACAACATGACAGTGTATCGTTTATAAAATATTAATTAAATTGCTGACAAATGATCAATTGCGATGTTTGTGTTTTCGATCCTATTGCTATATTAGATGTAAACAGGTTGTGAATTCTATGTTATTTCACATTACAATGACAAAATATTTTCACTTTTGAAATAGAAAGAGATAACAGACTGCATTTTTCATTATCGACAGAAAATAGGGGACAAATCTGTCGCTACCCGTTCCTCGGATGGGATATCGGCACGTTTAGGGCAAACAGAAAACTCCACTGTTCATTGGAGTTGCTCTGATCCATTTTTTGGTCGCCAGTTTTTGAGAATATTCACCATGTTCAAAGTCAAATTTCGCAAAAAATTTGGATTCGGCAATGCTCCCCGAAAAATAGATTGTCCTCCTAAAAATATTCTGACAACCGACCAATTCCATTACTGCAACGTATACCATTTCCCCTCGGGGTATACTACTTGCCCCTCCGAACAATCACGTCTCGTTAGTTTAGTATGTAAAGAGAATCCAAAAAAAAAAAATGGATCCATGTAAAAAAGACAAACACTCTTACCTGATATTAAGAACTAATAGAACTGATTGCTGAAACAAACTCTCATCTTTATTGATGTGATATAAAAATAATTTCTTTTTATACCGTTATGAAAGCTACGTTATCTAAGAATATAGACCATTAAAGGAAAGAGGGATGGTGCAAAGGGATTGAGTTTCTATAAATCTTTTGTCAAGGGAGCTCAAACGCAAGTTTACTCTGTGGTATATGCAATGAAAACGAATGATCAAATCGAACCTGAGACCATCATTATTCAAATGAAAAGGGACAAGTTCGCCATACTTTTAACCAATTTTATTTTAGTCACAAAAATCAATTTAGTTAGCTGGGCTAATCAGTAATAGTGTTCACAGTACACTGTAGAAATTTTATACTTCAAATTCATGTGTGTGCATTTATCCGATTGAATGTTAAAATGACGACTCGTCTTTCTTGAGACATTGTCATATATAGAAATAGAAACAGAAATTCGCAGTTTGAGATATATTTGAAGGAATTGTGCGATATTTGTACTTTTAAGTTATTCTGAAGAATTTTTAAAAATTTTCAAGACCCAAATCACCCCCTATCCCTTAAATTGTTGTGTGCTCTACTGCAAAGTTCCGAAGTTCAAATAGGCCAAGGTCACTGTTCTATAAGGTAGAGAATTTAACAAACAATAAGATAAATTTATGTAGGTATTGCCCCTCATGGGAGACAATTTGACACAATGGTTTCATCTATTTTCTACTATATGAACTACCCTTCACAGTCCACCGCATTGATAATCATACCTAATCTAACTCGCGATGGGTTTCTTAGCTATGCATCTTCAAGATTTAAAGGGGTATTCTGTTTTGTTGGTTTTTTTTCAATCGGTTTTTGTGGTTCGGAGTCTGAAATACATAAAACTACATGCCAACATGTAGAGGAAGATGCCCTCACAAACAGCTAAACAAACACAAGTATTCACCGGTTAAGTGAGTATTTTGTATTCCCCGGGCTCCAATTTTACTAAAAAACGAGGTATTTGATTACGAGAAAAAGGATCCTGATTGGACCTTAGAGAATACAGTTTTGATATCTATAGTAATCTCAGAAATTATTAATAAATTAGATGACAAGAACTGTTCTGTTTTACCACAGTATAAAACCGGGAGTGGGGTACCTTAGAGAATATCGTCTATATAGGGTTATGTTTAAAGGTGACAAACAGTTTATTCTGTACAAAATAGCTATATCACATGGTTACACATAGAAATAGAACAACAGTACTACGAATCTGTAAAAGTGAGCGCTTCCTATCCAGTCTGCAGTCACTGGTCGTCTGGTCTGACTACCAGACAGAACCAGTTTGCATCAAGTGTGCAATCAGTGACTTAGCCAGGATTTCCTTGATGGGTGTCAGAACTATCCATTTAGCGTTTTTCAGCTTGGGACTATATACAGGTCGCAATTTTACAATCACCTGACATTGTAAAATGCCTTAAGTAAAGAGTCTCCCTCAAAAAGACGCAACGAAATCTACTATGAGACCAGTAGAGGAGCCAGTTTGACGTTCGAGGGTGCTGGGGGGAAGGGGGCGAAATATCTGAGATTGCCCAAGTTTCTAACCTAGTTTTTGCCCGGGAAAATCTGCTTTCGGGGCTACGAGGGCTGCCAATGCATGAAACAGATTCCACTTTACGAGACAGATTCCACTTTACGAGACAGATTCCACTTTACGAGACAGATTCCACTTTACGAGACAGATTCCACTTTACGAGACAGATTCCACTTTACGAGACAGATTCCACTTTACGAGACAGATTCCACTTTACGTAAAATAATATTAATATTTCAAGATACTGCACTCTGTAAAATTTTGCACACGGCCACTTTGAACAAGACCTGTTCGGAAATCATCTGTTTACTATTATGGATAGACAATAGATAATGTCGCGCGTTGAGATTAAGAATTGCGTATGGTAGAAAGGGAGATAAGAATCGTTAATGACTCCAGACCACAATCAAGAAACAATATCACAAATGGAAATAATGCAGTTTTATGACCTACTTTCCTGCCCCTAGTTAGG